GAGTTATTTATTTAAGTTGCTTATTGTAAATTTTTTACGTAATTTTCCTAATTTGTGGCTATTGACAAGGCTTTGGTAATTGAAATTTTCACCATTTAACTCATCTTTGACACTTTCTTCTTGCTTTAAAAACGATTGTCATTTAATTCCTTTGGATATTTTCCTTACAGGAATATTTTGCTCCAGTTTAAGTTCTATTTTCTCCCATAGATTAGGGTAGATGGAAATGCTCATTTCAGTTTAAAGTATTCTTTCAGGAGATCGTAGAGTGTTCAAAATATCAAACGTCAGTCTTCATAGGACTGATACTTCCACTGATGACGACACTGAAGACAAAAACATGAGGTGATGTCTAATTATGCTTCCATACAATATGTTTAGTTCTCACATTTTGTAGACATAAATCAACATATACATTTCAATTGATATACAATTGATTGTATACATTTTTCAGTTGTGCACATTTCCCACATTCATCCTAGAATGATAATCTTGAGTGGTATTTGATTTTTATAATGTCCTGTGTATGATTTTTCAAGTGATATTTTAAAATACAGTATGGGCATTGGAGAAAAATTGTAATAACGGGATATTATTGCCTTTTTTTTTTCATATTCCATGCTTGGAAATATGGTTTAGGAGGAAGAGAATTCAAATATTCATTTTATTAAAAAAAAAAAAAATACGATCGTGTCTCCATGCCACAGAGACAATTTTTTTTCAGTGGTACATGATGCAACCAATATCAATTCCAAAATAAAAACATTTTTTTCTTGTCGACAATGATCAACTAACGTGCAACGCACGTTTTCTTCACTAGTTGTGTTTTAAAATATTATACAAAAAAATAAGTAAATAGAGTAAACGTCACGAAAACTGATTTTTTTTTTTTTTTTTAATTTCTACAACATCTTCCAAAATCCCCGAAGAGACCCTGGCCATTCCATTTCTAACACTACTTCATTATAGGGAAAAATGCACTATTAGCCCTAATCTATTGTTGCAATAGCAAGTTGATTTTAATTGTCTAGACTTGTCCAATGGATTAGAAGGTATTTTAACTTTATTGAACAAGTAAAAGTCTACATCTATTGCCGACAAGACTGCTATTAAGTACCAGGTGTCAAATAATATTGGAAAATATCACTTATACACTCTTTCCTTAACATGGTTGTTGACATTGTCAATGTTAGCTTTGATTGGATGAAAAAATTGTGAAAATTTTAAATTATCCAATGATGGGTTGTCACGTGAAAAAGTGTAAAGAATGATGTACATGTAGCTTGATTGAATAATATTACTCATTAAGGAATGTGGCAAAAGCAAGTGCAATCACGTGTGGGCGTGTGGGATGAATTTCATCGTGGAAAGCATCAACGACACAAAACTAAAGTACCAAAAGTTCGTTTAACATGAATTTTGAAAAGTGAAAAACTGCTTTTAATATTAAGAACGTGTTAGATAATTTTCTGAAAGTACTTTATTTAGTTAGAATAGCATTTAGGGGAAGATGACATAAGATAACTTCCTTTTATAGCCCCTGTTTAACACCCATTTTCTTTCCATTGTCTTTTTCATTTTTTTCTCTTTCTTGATTTCAACCATACATTCTATCAATAAAATAATATTACACATAAACACAAAAATTTTCTTTACTTTTTAATCACACATTCTTCCATCAATCACTATTCCAGAATTTATTCTTTCTCCAAAATGGGTATCAAACACAACCATAGTTCATTTACAAGAAGTATAAGCATAATGCTAAACAGACTAAACATTAGTGTGCTCAACACATTTCTCGACATCAATAAAGTATTGCAATTTCAATTCTACAAATATAAAATTGAACTATATATTACGAAGAAGTAGCATGTAATTGAATCAATGGCTACTCAACGTTCAAGATCGATAAAAAAAAACCATTTGAAAAGTAGCTTAGAGGTCCTCCATTGTTCAACTAGCACTGTCAATTAGGTATGTAAAGAGGCTCCATATCCAAAGTAGTTGTGGGTGTGTTGTGATC